TCAGCGACTAGTCAATGTTAGGGCAGAACGGAGAGTGGCAAGACTGGTACAAGACAACAGAAGGGCAACAGTGCAGTGTCAGATTCCTCGCATCACCTTTCAACATCTCGTGGAGTCACAAGGCGGCCCAACGAAGTCATCTCGTGGAGTCACAAGGCGGCCCAACAAAGTCATCTCGTGGAGTCATCTCGTGGCCCAACGAAGTACTGATGGGGTGGTCATAATAATCTGGCCACTCAGTGTATAAGCTCTGTGTCTCCACAAACACAGAAGGGCAAGACTCCTCTGCTCCCGGCTCCTTCTCCAAGCTAGTAGATGGACCTCTGCTGGAGACTGCTCTGTCTCTTGTGATCTTGTACTGGATAGGAAGTTCAGGGCAGCAGAGCTGAGAGAGTTGGAGCTGTTTGGAAGCATGATGGCTGTAAGTGCTCGGGCAAATATGTAAAAAAAACAACTGTATATTTGCTTAATCTGGATTCATGAATTAAAAAAAGATTGAAAATGTAATACTTATTTAATGTAAACTTTACTCCCGCTCGACAAATTGATGGAAAATACGATTGTGTATATAATGGCTCCATGTATGGCCAGCATAGGAATCCCATATACATCAGAATAACAAGCCTATTGCTTTAGAACCTAAACTACTAGAAGGGTTCAGATGATTTTGACCTCAACAAGGTTTTATCAGCCGGGTCACTGTGACCATGTATGCTTTGGGAGGAGAGACAGGGACAGAAGCCATCTCCTGGAACATTTGGCTGGGAGTTTGTAGAAGCAATGAACTGGAACCGTAGAATATCACTGTACACCCAGAGAGTGTAGAGGCAGAGCAGGCGGCACTCCCTGTGATACACAGCTACAGGTAAGGCAGGACGGAGCCCCACCGGGGAACTATGTGATTAACCAAAACCAGGCTACAAATGCATGTTTCATTATGAGGATATGTAAGGCGCCAGCCAGGCAGAAAATGATCTCGCCGCCTACGTTCCTACAATACCACCAAACCCACATTAAACATCCCGTCCCTAATCGTCACGCAAATGCTAAATTGGTTTTAAATGTGCAAAAGTAAATTAATATGCCAATTATCTTATGAATGACTGTATAATAATATGGTAAACGATCGCCAGACGCTGTTCTAGCCGCTTCGAATACGGGTCCTATTTGTAAAAATTAGAAACATTACAGCTTTTACTGTAATTTACAGCATATTGTTCTTGTTTGTGAACTCATTTAGATTTAAAGAGACCCCGTCACCAACAAAAATCTTAATATAAGATTATATATGCATTTTATGGTTTTTTTATGCATGTTATTTAAAAGGAGAACTATGAGGTGAGTGTTTTTCACCTCATAGTTCTAGCCGACCTGTGACAATGAGACTGTCACAGGTCGGCTTAGTAGATCGGGAGGTGATCGAACACATACCGGCGTTCGCTCACCTCTCGATCCTGTCGCGGCTTTCTGCCGTGACAGGGGAGGGGCTGGATTCCCCCCTCCCCGCTCCGATCCGCCAGCGATGACTGGCGGAACGGACAGGGGCGGGTACAGCTGGGTCTGCCTCTAGATAGGCAGAGCCAGCTGTCAGTCACGCAGCTGGGTGGATCCCGGCATAATTGTCGGGATCCGCTTCAGCTGCGGCGTCTCAGTATACCGCGAGCAGCAGCTTGCGGTATACTGCGGCGTCTCAGTATACCGCGAGCTACAGCTCTCGGTATACTGAGCCAAGGGTGACGGGAGGACGCTAGTTTGTGTCCTCCCGTTACCCTAAGGAGAACTATGGGGAAAAACCTTAACCCCATAGTTCTCCTTTAACTGCAAAGAGGAGGCGTATACCCCCCCAAAAAAGTGGGATGAGGACAGCAGAGGTGCCCGATGGTGGCAAATAGAGTCAGAACAGTGGTTCTCAACCTGTGTAACCTCAGGACCCATATTTGTCCTTGGTCATTAAGTCACGACCCAAGTCGCACCACACTGGAACGTATGGCATTGCGCGTACGTCCCGTTGCACTCGCATGCGCACCAGCACACGTTTTCCTGTTGAACAGAAAACAGGATCACACACATGCGCAGTAAACCTAGTCACATTACAATTGCTCACCTCAAGTTGGCTAAGAGGTTGGAGGCACTTTTCATGACTTTCCTTTGTAATTGAATTGAGTAGAAAGGAAACAAAGCTGTACTCCCACAGGGGCGCTCTGCTGGGTATGTCTTCCACTGAGCACCAGTTGACACTTTTGGAGGTGACAGATCAATTAAACAGGCTCAAATACCTTGTCTGTGCATCAGTGTTTCTCTACCAGGCCAGGGCTGTCTGGCTGCACCTCATCTTTATCATAGATATGTACGCTTGTCTGAGCAGAATGTATGTGTTTATGGAGTCTAAAGTTTGTTTTATGCAATTGTGCCTTTATATCTCCCATCCTCTCATTTCTGTGGGCACTTACTGTAGTTTACTCTAGGCCAGAGACAGCCTCAACTAGCAAGAGACCAAAGACCAGGGGTAGTGGTTACATTTTAGGGTGCTGTTATATTGTATACAGAAAGTAAGGGACAAGTAGGAATGTCCTAATCAATGCAAAGAATACATTTTACAGATTAGATGATACATACATGGTTTTTATTCATTTTTCCCATATTGGACAAAAGGAAACAAGCAAGAACTATTTATGCATTGCACATATGTCGATATGAAGTGGAAACCATCTTTATGGAAAAAGGTTTTGTAGACTATTAGCTCTGACAGCTAATTCTATGTGCCACCACACGCCTTCTCAAAGTGGAACAGCTGTCATCTGGTACTGGACTCACTTTTTCTCACTAGGTAATTATTGTCAATTACCTAGGACATGATTATGCATGAATATATCATCTCAGTTGAGAAAAATTATAGTTCAAAAAGTTAGTTCGCTCTGTTTTCTTCTTCTGAACCAGTAATGGATTTCCATCTAGAAGATGTGATCGGAAGAGAGATCGGAACAGTGACAGTAGCTTTTCCCAACCTCAGGAGCTAATGCCCAAAGGACAACAAAAAATCATATTTGAAGAAGTTCCCGGACAGTCCTGTGATTGATTGATTTATAGTATGGCATGCTAGAGGTGCCTGGTGAGTTGAACCCTTGACAAGCCATTTAATATGGAGGCATGCAGACATTCTACCATTTATTTTGGACCAAAAGAACAAAATGAGGGAAACAAGTAGCAGACATGAGGTTTCTCTACAAAGTTCATAAGTTTAATCTTCACATTATGGAAAACAAATTGGCCATCCAGGAAAAGCTCAGAGCATGAGCACTAGAGGAAGGGACTCATTGGGCGTCATGCACAGATGCCACCTAGGATGAACCTACTATGGGGAGAACTGAGATGCACACAGAAAACGATGGAGGAATTGTGTCTTCAAGATGATCTTGCAACACTTTGGAATATCACAGGAAGGAACTCTGTGCCCCTCACAGATCATGGTTCCACTTCTTTACTAAGGACTCATCCTTGGGACGTTAGAATCCGGACTGAACCCTATACCTAGAAGCCAAACCTTACTCAAGTGCCATCCTCCTCTCCATTGAGATAACCCTTAGTGACCACTGAGGTGTTCTGGTTGGACAATGGAAGGATGAAAAGGCAGAGCTTGGCTCAAGGGGTGGTGGATTGAACCAATGTGAGGGAATTTGAGCCCTTAGTAAAAAATAAAAGCCAGATCATCACTTTTCAATCCACTTTTAACTGATGGTCATTTTGCATTGTGAATTACCACTAATAGGCTGAGTTTGACCTGCTTTTCTTTGAGTTTTTTTGGATGGAGCAGGTCCTATCGAGACCCATTTGTGTTCCAACCTCTACCCAAACTCAAAGTCTGTTTACACGGGGGAAGTTAAAGTATGTGGTGCTAAGTTTGGCTTTCACATGAAAAGTCAAGAATTACATATAATTTCAGCTGCCTACATCTTCGGGTCAACTAATCTTGACTAAAGGTGACCTCTGCTTGTGTGTTTTTCATCATATGCTCAAGTTTGTCCAGGGTTGTTACAGGTTTAAATCCAGTAGGTTGGCCAACGATTTTACATTGTATGAGAACTAGCTTCAAATAGTAGAGCTTTTTGCTCAGTGCCTGGTTCCATGTGTGTGCTCTTCAAGTTCTCCTAGTTATGATATGTTTACTATATATATTATTCTATAAGATGGAACTGCATATTAGGGGAACTCATTCATAAAAGTTCTGCCTGATGTACAGGTGAAACTCGAATGCCCCTCCCC